AGAGAGAGAGAGAGAGAGAGAGAGAGAGAGAGAGAGAGAGAGAGAGAACAAGAGTAAGACAAAGAAGGTTAAAGTAATTTGTTCTATATCAAGCAGCAATTCACTGAAGGACAGAGTTCACGTAAAGGGTTTTGGTGCCCTAATCCATGATCTTAATCGCTTATTGATTTTTATAGCTATGAGTGAGGACACTCAAGCCTGACTGCATGGAGTCTTATGCCTCAGTATCTCAGAAAGAAAAGAATTCTTTTAAAATAATAGCAAACAACTAGGTATGACTTCATGAGACTTCTTTGTGTGCATTTGAGGGCTATGCTTCCAAATATGACCTTTCAAAACTGAAGGTTTCTGCAATGGCAGAAATGCAGCTCATAGGGGAGTTGTAGGTAGTCAGTTTGGGGCCCAGAACAGAGCTCCAGATGTTTAAAGGGATTCCCACCCCTTTTGTCTCTTTATGCAAACATGAGAATGTTCACCTGACTATTTTTCTGAGGAAAATATTTCTGTCTCTTATTAAATTTTGAAAGGATATAGAGCTAAATTAATACCTAAAACAAGATAAACTTCTTCACTAAGGCAATATAAAAGCATATTGGGCTTGAGGCAGTAGGATCTCTTTCACAACTCCATTACACAATAGAGTGGAAAGCAGCTCACAGTGCAGGATTGGGGTAGTAATCTAATAACATCTTACTTAGGGACCTGAAAATTCAAACTTCACATTTTTTGTTGCAAAAAATGTTGCACATTATGTTGCAAAATATTACAGTTACTTCATTAGTTTCTTCAATTATTAAAAAATTGTTTAGAAATATATATTTTCTTCATCCATTTTTCTTGAGGAGGCTACATGGATCTGACCTAGGTCCTCTGCATATATGTTAGCTTGGTATAGTTTTGAGTTCTTGTTGGACTCCTCTAAGAGTGGAGAGCAAGGACTGTCTCTGACTTTTCCCTGTTTCTGAGATCGTTTTCTTCCGATTAGTGACCTCATCTAGCCCATTACGACCCAGACTTAATGTGTCTTGTTATGCCATGTTTGGTTGAGATTCCTGGGAGGCCTATTCTTTTCTGTCTGGAAATGGAGGAAGAATGGATCTTGGAGAGAGAAGAGTTATGGGAGACTGGGTAGAGAAGAGGAAAAGGAACCTGCAGTAAGGATGTGATATATGAGAGAAAAATAAATAAAGAAACATGCACACACACACATACACACACACACACAAACTATCATCTGTCTGTCTGTCTGTCTGTCTACCTATATGACTTAGTTTAGATCATAAGAAAAGGTAACAGTCTTCCTCTAAGTTATGGAGATGACTCTTTCTATCACAGGAAAATCTACTTGGGAAAATTTTGAAAATGCAAGTCTCAGGCCTTTGCAAATCTACTGATTCAGTAATTGGGAGTAAGGGCCTCCCATCTGTGCATTTTAATGTTTGAATATTTTCTTTGTGAAAAAGACACACCAAACTTTGAAAGTAGTTGGTGGAAAACTTTAGCCATACTTACAAAAAGTAAGTTTTGAGAAATAATTAATTTTTGTACTGGAGTAAGTATGATTTTATTTTTTGTTTATTTGTTTGTTAGTTAGTTTCTTTCTTTCTTTCTCTCTTTCTTCCTTTCTTTCTTTCTTTCTTTCTTTCTTTCTTTCTTTCTTTCTTTCTTTCTTTCTTTCTTTCCTTCCTTCCTTCCTTCCTCCTTCCTTCCTTCCTTCCTTCTTTCCTTCCTTCCTTCCTTCCTTCTTTCCTTCCTTCCTTCCTTCCTTCTTACCTTCCTTTCTCTTAGCCTTCTTCATTTTATTTAGATGACTCCTCCAATAAATTATCAACTTCTAGAAAGTGGCCTTGAAAATACACCACTTTTTGTTTCTATGTATAGAACCCATACCTTTTATATATTTATGTACATATAATAAGCATTTATAAATATGTGTAATAGCCACACATACCTGTCACAGAATATTACAAAGCAACCTGAATCTCAAATATCTTTAATGTCCTTTATGTTTTTTTTTTCATTCTCTTTTCACAGGATTCTACCAAGTTTATTATTTCAGAAGCTGTTATTAGATCACAGCCGTAGTGGAGAAATGCTACAATCATGTGTACTCACCAGGGCAAATTCTTTGTTGAGAATCATCTGTTCCACTAAAGATGACTCATTGTGGAAGAGGTGGGGCTGCATGTGACTCCACATGTGAGGAAACCACCAGAACTCATCCACAGACCTCAGCAGAAGGTCATCGCCTTCATCTTCTTCTTCGGTTCCTAGAAAACAGGAAGTGGCAATGTCTGTAAGATTTGTTTAATCATTCATGCGACTTTCTAAACAGAAAAAGGATGAGTTTAGTATAAGTTACATTAGAGACTAGGGGCATGGATAAGGTGTGGTGATCCCTGGCCCTGCTGACTACAGAGAAGGTAGTATAAGTACTCACTACTGATGATGTTTAGAATCGTGAGCACCTGGTGGCAATAAACCATAAACACACACACACACACACACACACGTATAATGTACATATTATTTACAATCATTTCTTAATATATATAGGGAACTTGATCAGAGGAGATCACACCTTTTTCTCAAACTTTTTCTATGTGTGCCTATAATTGAGTGAATAATTTAATGAAAGTTCTTCTGATTATGAAAATGTCATAAATTTATTGAAGGTTTGTGAAAAATACAGGTAATACAGGAAAAATAAAATGTAAATAGTACATCTTACATAGCTATCTTTTAGACCTAACCAGTGGGAATTACTTTTGTATTTAGCGTTAATATCTTTTAGCCTTTATTTTAAAGAATAAATATTCTGTAAGCACTTTTACCTATTCATATGTCAAGTTAATACCATATATATACATATATATTCCAATTTTAATTCAACTTTGTTTTATAGTAAAGTTCATATAAATCATAACAATTTCATAACACTTTAACAATGAATCTTATAATTATTTTTAAAAGAAAACTTCTTTGCTAATTGAAAATTAATATGTTTTTATCATTATAAAAACAACTTTTAGTCCAATGCACAAGAAGAGCACTGTGATGCTATTATTCAAAGCACAACAGAAAAAAATCTATTTCTTTTTTTTTGTTTGTTTGTTTTTGTTTTTTTCTTTTTTTTTTATTGGATGTTTTATTTACATTTCCTATGTTGTCCCCTTAAAAAAAATCTATTTCTAAGAGAATTCATCAGATTGCAGCTTTTCAAAACATTTCTTGTTGTATGAAGCTATATGTATTTTGTAGAATTTTATAAAATTTAGGAGAAATTTAAAATGTCATGAATCTATTCATGTAATAATTGTTATTAATTTCATACTACTTAACTATGTAAGTAAATTAAAACTGTTCTGGCTTCTTTTTTTTAGTTCACTTTTGCTAACACATTATGTTTAATAGACGGGTGCTCTGGTTTTTTTTAGATTAAATTAGGGGATTATGTGTTAATGTAATAGTAAAGGGTTGTTCCATTTGTGTGTTCTATGAAAAAGATTTCCTTGGTCGTGAAAGAAATGGTATGAATGTACTTTGGGTTCAATTCCTGGAAGTGAGGGTCTTCTTTTCTACATCATTATCTAGTTGATCTTGAATACGTATAATTATGAGTCCCAGTTTCTTTGTTTAAAACAAAGATGAGAATACTTTTGTCATAAAGTTTTAGTAAAGGGTCAATAAGATTGACTGAAAAAAGTTCTTCATGTTGCGACTTCCAGATAAAAGTGCAATGCTCTGCTCCAAGCATCTGAAAATTAAATCAGCTGCTGTTTAACTGCTTTACTTTTAATTGATATATTTTCCCACATTTTTATAGATTTAGCTTGTATAGATCATATCTTTTAAAGTCAAACTCTAGGGTCTTACTAAATTGTACTTGTAGCATACTACTATCCTAGAACACTGGATAATAAAATAACTTAATTGTGCCTTTTTGAAAATAGTTGGCCTTAGCCTTATACTACGTAGAGTCAAAGAATAGAAGTCTGGATATTAATGAAGTCTTATTAATGAGATGGGCAGACAACATTCATACATTTTATAAGTTGTCTAAACTGTTGGTATCAGACTCACAGTTTAATGACTTTGTTGTTGTTGTTGTTGTTGTTACTGCATGAAAGTCATCAAATGTTGAAATCCAAGCTAAAAATCATGTACCATTTCCACTGGTTCAATGTTTATGCTAAGTGTTTCTTATGTGTGTAACTAAACAGACTGAACCATGGCTTTGAAAGATTTGCTAATGTAACAAGTGAATAAAGAATTGCTAGTCCCCCACCCCTAAAAAATCCAGCCTGTTTCTCTCTTAGTCTAGAGTGTTTGGGAAATGCTTTTGCTCTGTATCAGCGCAGTAATGATTACTGTGCATGGCAGGAGTCACGGAGTGCTTCCTTGACCAGGAACAAGGTCAATTACTCAACTTTTAGAATATTGATATAAACATTTGAATGACTGATCATAAAATATCAGCAATTTCATATCAGAGATTATGCTAATTTACAAACTCTCTAGGCAAAGTTGAAAGTGACATTTTTCAGCTTCCTGCATTTTAAACATCATAGATTAATTTCTGCCAACTTTCCTCTTATTTTACGCTGGTCATATAATTTAAAGCCACATGAGGTTGACCCTTGACACTTTATATAGTTTAATGAAAAATATGATAGCCAGTCATGCTGGTAGGCCACAGTAGAATTTTAAGTGATTTCAAATCTAAGTAAAAATGGTATTTTTTGCCAATCAAAGCACATACCTCTACAATACTCATGTATGCTTAAGTAACAGGCTAGAATGTTATTTGTACTTCATAATGACCACATTGAAACCAATTAAAGGTATTCAATTAGCTCCACTCCAATAAAACTTTTATTTCTTATTTAAACGTATTTCTTTTCTAGTTTCCTAGATGTTTTAAGTCAGAGTCAAGTACACAAATGTTACTTCTTGTCATTAATTTTCTTGTTTTGAGAAAATTACATGCTTCTGAAAGTTCTTTAGATCTGTCAACATGAGGTTTGTGATTTTGGGTTTGTCATTGCTAAGTACTGAACTCTGAACAAGAGCGAAGTGCTCTACTACAGTCTACAGCTGGGGGCCCCAAATAAACAATGCTTTCAGAAAGATTTGTTCTATAGATTAATGGAAATAAAGGCGAAGCCATAAGAGTAAATAAGATTGAGAATATTTCATTGGTTCTTTATTCTCTTTTTGCATAAGAATCTGCTTTTTGCACATGAAATAGTCTAATTTTTATTTTATTTATTTTTTTATAGTCTAATTTTTAAATGTGAAAAAATATTTTTTAATTTTCTTTTTAATTAGTGTCTGCCATGTCTTCACATGTGGTTATGTAACCACCCATACTAACCACCTGTTTGACTCTTTAGTCAATAAAAGTGTATTAAAAGATATCTACTATCTCCAAATTAGAAAATAGATACAAGTTAGTATTTTATAGACATTTATTCTCATAGATAATACTTTCAAAAGTACTACTAATAAAAACTTACAAATTCATATTTGAGAGTTCGTGTTAGTAACACAATTTTGAAGATGTGGAAACAGAGTCACAGAAAGGTTAAGTAGTGTGTGAATGTTTATATACTTGGTAAAATGTCAAATCCTTGAATTCAACACAACCAATCTGTTTCTATTGAGTGTCTTTTAATCCACAACACATAAAAAAAATAAAGAAAATCACAAAACTAAGATAACAACTTCCCTTCTTTCATCTTTGAAGTTAACACATTTTTAATTAAGTGAAGTTTCAGGGAGTAAACTAACAACTGGGAAAAACAATCTAAATATAATTTCTAAACATGATTCATGACAATTAGTGATCAGATTTAGTCTTCTTGACTATTAAATTATAATAGCAACAATAATTATCACTACAAATCATGTCCAGTGAAAAAAAATAGAATATACTCTCAGAGGGTGGCCTGAACTGCAGGATTTTCAGTTAGTGATGCTTTCATGATGCATTTTCGATCAAGATTCAAACATTTCCAGACTCAAAAATTGCATTCTAAATTCCACACTTCTATTTTTTTCTTTTTAATCAGCACCATGTGTTCCTCCTTCAATCTGCTCCCTGGGTATGAAAGACTATCAGGGAAGAGTTAATAATATGACATTTTAGGGTGAGAGTGGCTTTTACATGTGAAGGTCAGAGAGGCAGAGAGGTAAGAAACCATGATAAATGCAAATACATGGAGAATACTAATGCTTGCAGCAGTTGTCACTACTACACTAGAAACATGAGATTAAATGTCTTCAAAAACAATGAGGCTTATCAATCAGCATCCTCACGTATTGAGAAATCAGATCATCCGGCGAGGGAACAAACAAGGCTACCTGTCCATGGTTATACATCATCGCCATAAACACACAGAAGAAATGAACTTTCTTACCTTTCAATCTTCTTTTCTATGATGTTAACTTTCCAAATAGGACTTTGACTAGGTAAGGGTGAGGTATGCCTTTATGATAAAGGGTATCACAACATTCAGTTTTTGAGAAACCATTGATAACTTAAATGTGTTAATATGAACTCAATGTACTATGATTGCATACTTCAAAAATATTTTTTTAATAGTCCTTTAGACAACACAGCACAGTTGTTAAATAAAGTTATGTGTTTATGTGGAGAAATTTAATTTTTAAGATTTATGTATTTATATATGCATGTCTTATTTGCTAAGTGAGCTATTATCACAGTATAATATTACAGACTGTTTCTTCCATCATTTCTCAGCTAGGCTAGTTCAAACTCAAAGTCAATAAATATGTTTAAAAGATATAATTATAATGTATCTTTGGGGGGTATTTTAATAACTACCTTTGAAATATTAACAAAAAGTGTTCTGTTTAAATTTTTTAAATGGATATACACTGTTCACATGCACAGGATGATAAAGAAGAAATGAGAATTACCATAACTTCTAGCAACATTAACATCTGGCAGGTTTAATATGTCTAAGTATAAAAAAAAGAAATAAAAGATGAATTGGTTACGTAGTACATTTCAGCCCCTAGAATGGATTTATTTCCACTACAAATCTATTTAAAATAAAATGGTACTGTGTAGCTATGAACTCCAAATAATCCTATAGCTTTATACACCCGCATGGGCAGACACAGTTGTCACAGTTATCTGCTTTATAACACCATAGTTAGAGCTTCTTAGTGCTGAACTCATTTTTAAGAAGATTTTTGAAGAAAATTTACAAAACAATGACTACTTCAAAACTGTAAGCTGGAATCACTTCACCTGTGCAGAGATGATGGCCCAATCTCTTTGCAAAATACCATTTAAAATGGACAATTATTTGATTTATCAAGTAGGCTAAGTACTAATGTCCATTCAATTACTTCAAACAAATTTAAATATTCCAAAGTAGAACAGAAAATCAACATCGGAAAAAAACAAATAAGACATTTGTACTTCACTCTTCTAACAAACCATGCTGAGCTTTGCATTCCAGCCTCCTTGAGTAAGAAAGCTGCACTTAGGATAATTACAGGCTACTTTTGCATGGGATAGTTTTAATGAGTGAATAATCTCCATGGGTGCATGGAGATGACTGTAAAGTATTTTTTGTTATGTTGTTGGGAACCTATAGCTTTCTTTCTTTAAAGCATTTAGCTTACAGCCGAAATGCACATGTAGGTGCAGATCTTGGATATCTTCATTACAGAGGCCCCAGTACATATTTATCTATTGTACTGTCCACCAATGTAAGACAATACATTTTGTGTGAACATAGTTCTCTCATGTAATATAGCACAAGGTTAAGATTCTGAAGATAAAAACTCAAAATCTGAGTGTGAGACTGCAAAGAAGGAAGATGTGGAAGAATATAAAGCAAGAACATAAACACTAAGCCTGTTTTGAGAATTTGTTCATGGGCTGAGAATAAACAGAAAGATAACTAGACTAGAGGTGGGAAAATGCATGACTAATTTTAAGGATTTTAACGGATACCAGCACTTATATTAAGTAAAAATAGTTTTAGAAAAAAATTCTTCAAAGCAAGATAAAGTAATAAGATGACTTTTATACTCTATTGCCTTTCTTTGAGTCTCTAAAATCCATATTCCATCACCAGGTGTCTTCTGAATAAAAAATAATATATACAAAAGTATCTATCAGTTCAGCCACTCGATGGTTAAAAATGTTGCCCAATGAGGTTCATTTTATTAGTATCTTTGTCATCATCATTGTCCCTACACTGGGCATTTGCTTACGAGATGCATAAAAGGGTACATAGGACACTTGGCACAGTGATGATAGTTCCTCTTATAGAATTCAAAAGTCAGTTTTCCTCATTTGCTCTTGGTTTTAGTAGTTCTTGAAAAAATACAAATTCATTGCTTTTTATTCAGCTACTCATACAATGCACCAATGTTGCCCCCTTATAATCAATATAGACATCCTACATCTATTACTTACGGAACATTTAAAATTCTACATCCTACTTATTATGTAGCTGCCTGAGAACACAAAGCTGCTTCTTACCTGTGTGGTAAAACTTCCCTGAAAATCCAAGGTTGAAGGTAAAATTGGCAACCTGAGTGCGCAGTAAGTTTTGAGTCTCTAGTAATGCCTGAAATAAATAAGAAATTAACATGATTTTAGAAAAGTAAACATGAAGCTTTGGGATGCTTCTTTCACAAAGTGTGTGCATGAGAGAAACAATAAGAGCTTTAGAGAGCCTGGCTGTCTGATGGGCATTGATTGTGTATTCATATTGCAGCCATTGTAATTATTATGGATGTTATTTCATTGAAGGTCACCAAACTGTGAAACAGTTAAATCCTAAGCACATTATGCATCACCGAGAGCCAATTCTCCAACTGCACAGCCTTGAAATCATTTTTCATTTTGTATGAGACATTTCTTGAATTTCAGATTATAACATTTCCTTTCCATGGGGAAACTTTTTTCAGAATTGTTGCTATAGACAAGTCCTACGCAAGTTACTAAGGGACAAGGCAAGAACTTTTATTTGTTCTACAACTCATTGTGTGGCTATGTTACCACTCCTATGACTTTTAAGATAAAATTATTAAAGTGGAACCTTGAGTTTTTTACTTTATAAACTAATGAGCAATGTATATTTTCTAAGGCATTGCTTGCAATTCTGAAAAGAAAACATATAGAACTAAATATGCTGTATGTTGCCAATTCAATGAAGTAATAGTCTCTATTCCCACAACACAGCAAATGTCTCCTTAATTTATGTATTATGAATAACACTAGTATAACTTCCCATTTGTAGATAAGATAAGAACACATTGATAATAAATAGCTAGAATTATTCATTCTAGCAATCCTCCAGCTTTATCATCCTATTGTATAGGATATAGCATAATTTATATCACCTATCTTAACCTATATAGAATAATTTAAATCTATCTTAACCTAAATAATAGCATTATTTAGATCTTGCCCATAATTCAGTTTTCTTAGTGGCATGACTACTAATTTATTGATTCAGAATTTTTTTCTATTTTTCAATAGAATTTACAAGAGAGTATTATTCTGATGGAAAAACTGGCACTATTAATTCCAATGCATTTTGGCTACTGCTATCCATCTGTTCAGGCAACAAAGAGCCAAAGCTTAGATTGCTTACTTGGCATTGGTCGTGATGAAGTTTCCGCTTTAAACATTTTTATGCTTTCTACTATTCTTTGTAAGTTGTTTAATTGTAATGTAAGAGAAGGAAAGAAATATGGATAAAAAGAAGTTGGTACGTGGGAGAGAGGAAGGGAGGAAGAAATAATGAAGTGAGAAAAAGTGACCAAATAAATAATAATAAAATAATGCAGTCAGTGGTCATCCAAAACCATAATAAAGTAGAAAAAACATGAACGATTTATTTTTAAACAGCAACTTATGTAATAGCCATGGATATTCTGTAACTCACTTTGTAGACCAGGCTGGCCTAGAACTTACAGAAATACTCTGTCTCTCAAGTGTTGGGATTAAAAGTGTGCACCACCACACATTACAGTCCATTTTACTTTAATGACATCAAAAAGAAGAGAAGAAAAAAACAATAACAACAACAATAAAAACAAACAAAACTGTGAGAAAATAGACTCACAGTTTTAGCCACTTCTAGCAAAAAACTAAAGGGCACAGAGACAGTATCCAAATTAAAAATATCAGAAATGAAAAGGAGACATAACAAACTGAGGAAATTAAAAAACTCATCAAATCCTTTTGCAAATGCCTATACTCAACAACACTGGAAATTTTAGATAAAATAAATGATTTTTTAGACAGATACTAGGTACCAAAGTTAAATCAGGACTGAATAAACTATCTAAACCATCCCATACACCTAAGAAAATAAAACAGTCATTAAAAGTCTCTGAACAAAAAAAAAAAAAAAAAGAGCCCAGGGCCAGATGGTTTTATTGCAGAATTCTATCAGACCTTCAAAGAAGGCCTAATACCAATACTCTTCAAACTATTCCATAAAACAGAAACAGAAGGAACACCACTGAATTTATTCTATGTATCCAGAGAGCTTCAGACCAATTTCACTTATGAATATCACTGCAAAAATGGTCAAAAAATTCTTGCGAACCAAATTCAAGAAGACATCAAAAAGATTATTCAAAGATCAAGTAGGCTTCATCCCAGGGATGCAAGGATGGTTTGATATTCATTAATCAATCAAAATAATCTACCATATAAACCATCTCAAAGAAAAAAAAAGCACGTAATGATCTCATTAAATGCTTAAAAAGTCTTTGACAAAATACAACACCCCTTCATGTTAAAAGTCTTTGAATGATCAGGTATTCAATGCCCATACCTGAACATAATAAAAATATATATACAGCAAGCCAATAACCAACATCAAATTAAATGGAGAGACAGTTGAAGCAGTCTCACTCAAATCAGGGTCATGACAAGGCTGCTAATCTCTCTCTATTTATTCAATATAGTACTCATAGTTCTAGCTAGAGCAATTAGACAACAAAAAGAGGTCCAAGGGATTCAAATTGGAAAGAAAGAAGACAAACTATCACTATTTGCATATGATATGATAGTACACATTAGTGACCACAAAAAAAAATCTTACCAGAGAACTCCTAAAGTTGATAAACACCTTCATCAAAGTGGCTGAATATAAAATTAACTTAAACAAAATCAGTAGTCTTTCTCTACATAGAGGATAAACAGGCTGAGAAAGAAATTAAGGAAACAACACCCTTCACAATAGTTACCAATAATACAAATTATCTTGGTGCAACTCTAACCAAGGAAGTAAAAGAGCTGTATGACAAGAACTTTAAATCTTTGAAGAAAGCAAAGATCTCAGAAGATGGAACGATCTCCCTTGCTAAGGGATAGGTAGTATTAGCATAATAAAAATAGCCATCTTACCAAAAGCAATCTACAGATTCAATGCAAGCCCCATCAAAATCCCAACTCAATTCTTCACAGAGATAGAAACAGCAATTCTCAACTTCATCTGGGATAACAAAAAACCTAGGGTAGTGACAATAATTCTCAACAATAAAAGAACTTTTGGGTGGTGAGTCACCATCCATGACCTCAAGTTGTACTACAAAGAAATAGTGAAAAAAAACCTACATGGTATTGGTACAGAAACAGACAGGACAATCAATGCAATAAAATTGAAGACTTAGAACTAAACCCATACATCTATGGACACTTGATCTTTAACAAAGAAACCAAAAAACATACCATGGAAGAGAAGAGAGTATCTTCAAAAAATAGTCCTGGTCTAACTAACTGGTGCTCTATAGATAGGATGATGATAATAGATCCTTATTTATCACCTTGCAAAAAGCTCAAGTCCAAGTGGATCAAGGACTCAACATAAAATCAGATACACTGAATCTAATAGAAGAGAAATTGGGAGAGAGTCTAGAATTTATTGGCACAGAGGAAAATTGCCTGAACAGAACACTAATGACTCAGGCTCCAAGATCAAAAATTGATAAATGGGACAACATGACACTGAAAAGCTTTTGTAAGGCAAAGGACACTGACAATAGAACAAATAGGCAACTTTCAGATTGGGAAAAACATCTTCACTGACCTACATCTGGTAGCAGATGCTGGTGAAGATGTGGAGAAAGAGGAACATTCTTCCATTGCTGGTGAGATTACAAGCTGGTACAACCACTTTGGAAATCAGTCTGGCAGTTCCTCAGAAAACTGGAAACAGTTCTATCTTAAGACTCAGCTATACTACTCCAGGGCATATACCTAAAAGATGCTCTAACATATAACAAGGACACATTCTCCAATATGTTCATAGCAACCTTGTTTATAATAGCCAGGAGCTGGAAACAACCCAGATGTGTCTCAACAGAAGAATGGATATAGAAAAATGTGGCACATTTACACATGGAATACTACTCAGCTATTAAAATTATAACTTCATGAACTTTGTAGGCAAATGGATGGAACTAGAAAATATCCTGAGTGAGGTAACACAGACCCAAAAGAACATGCATGGTATGTACTCACTGGTAAGTGTATATTAGCCCAAAAGCTCAGAATACCCATGATAAAACTCAAAGATCATATTAAGCTTAAGAAGAAGGAAGGCCTTGTGTGTATGCAACAAACTTAATTAGAAGGGGGAACAAAATAATCATGGTAGGCAGAGTTAGGGAGGGACCTGGGTAGGAGAGGGGAGGGGAATGCTAAACTGGGGGTGGGGCAGGGTCAGGTATGAGAAGAGGCAGGAGAGAAGTCCAGAGGGCCAGGAGAATGAATAGAAATAAGTAATGGTGGGGGTGGAGAACTTGGGAACCACTATAAATTTCCAAATGCCAGGGATGTGAGAGGCTTCCAGGATCCAGTGGGGATGGCATTAGCTGAAATATCCAACAGCACGGAGAGAGAACCTGAAGAGACACCTCCAGTAGATAAGACATGGGCCATTAACCTGTCTAAATATTTTTGACTCAGAAAATGTTCCCGTCTAAATGAAATGCGTGGACAAAAGTGGAGCAAAGGCTGAAGGAAAGATCATCCAGAGACCGCATCACCTAGGGATCTATCCCATCTGTAGAGTCCAAACCGACACTATTGCTGATGCCAAGAAGTGCTAGCACTCTAGAGCCTAGTATGGCTGTCGCCTGAGGCTCTGCCAGCACCTGACTAAGACAGATGCAGATACTCACAGCCAACACTGGACTGAGCCTGGGGTCCCCAGTGGACGAGTTAGGGGAAGTGGTGAAGGAGCTGAAGGGGATTGCAATTCCATAGGAAGAACAACAGTATCAATTAACTAGACCCCTCAAAGCTCCCAGGCTATACCACCAAACAAAGAATATAGCTGAGTGGAAACACGGCTTCTGTTACATATGTAGTAGAAGACAGCCTCTTCTGGCATCAGTGGGAAGGGAGGTTGGTCCTGTGGAGACTGGATGCCCCAGAGAAGGGGGATGCTAGAGGAACAAGGCAGAAGTGAGTGGGTGGTTGAGCGACTACCCTCTTAGAGGCAAAGGGGAGGGAGAAGAGGTGGAGGGTCGTGGAGGTGAGACTGGAAAGTGGATTACATTTGAAAAGTAAATGAATAAAATGATTAATAAAAATAAATGT